TAAAACTGGAGAGATATGATCTCTCCCACTAACTCCAGTTAAGACTCTGGCAGCAGCATTTTGGATCAACTGAAGACTTTTTAAAGAAGTATTTGGTAAGCAAAAAAATATGTTTTCTAAAGTTGGCAATATTTCCTTTTTGCACCTCCCACACGTCAAACAGATGTGTATCAAAGCTGCGATACATGCGTCTTTGGCTGCGTAAATACCTTGATCGCCAGTTCAGAAGCTCATTAGCAGCAGATCAGTTTCATCTTCCACGTTTTTCCTTCATCATTGCACCTGACGCTGAAGCACGATGAAGATGTAGCAGGGTTAACGTGAGGAAAGAGCTTCTGCGTCTGCATCTACAGCATGTCTGAACCTTTTTCAATAAGCTGTCTGCTCCTGAGATGTAGCTCAAATCAATTCTCTGAAAAGCCGCAGAAACAGTAGAAGCAACTATTTTTGCTTTTGCAATGTCTTTGATGAGAATTATTAAAATAATTTTTAGCCAAATCTGTGCTTGTTTGTGTTGAGATGCTTTGATAAAAATGTTTCCCCCCATATGGAATAATGAGAATGACCCTGTTAATGAATACAGAGTTTCAAAAGAAACATTTTGGCTAAACATTTTATCAACACAACACATCAGTTTAATGAAAAGAGTTTTTTAGGGCTGTAATTTCACACCTTTTTTAAGTTGTATAAATTTGTGAAATGCTTGATTATTCTAAGCATGGTTGCTGGAAAATAAATTAATATCTGTGCATGTCTTGTTTAAAAAAACTCCCAAAATGAGAAATGGCTTCATCCATGATTGGAGGTGTATGATTCCCTGTGTGCAGATTTTGGTAGGCCTGTCTAATCAGTGGATGGAGGTGGAGCTCAACTCTGATCCATGGTGTTTATGTTTAAAAGTGGGCCTTTCACAATCGGCACAGTTTAATGGGCACACTGTCCCAGAAGGCTTGTTGCATCCGTGTTCGCTTTGTTTCTCGAGTCGGGGGAAACAAACGTGCCAGGAGGAGAAAAGGAGAAAGCAACCTCAGGGGAGCTATGAAACACCACTGGAGCCCATCCCTGGCCTTCCTGTCAAGATAACATTTCACCTCAACTATTGATATTTTTATAGGAGAAAGGAGCTGGTAATTCTGAGAAATACCAGCTTTTATGGAACAAAAACAGCTTTGGTTTTATCCTTTAACAGGGATTCTGCAGCTTTTTATGCAGCAGATCTGAGCCTTTTAGGGCCGACAGTATACAATTGTCAGTTTACAATAGTCCTCACACACTCTGCCCCAGGACATAAATGGACAACATTTTAATTCAGAGCCCCTTTAAAGTAAAGCTGCTGCACCACTGTCTTCATCGTGCACTCCTGCACTAGGATGCAGCTCACACAGGTCCCTCAATAAATCCCAGGCTGACACAAAAGCTGTCAGTGGACTGCTGCTGAATAGATTAATAAGGTTTCCATAATTAGACAGGCTCATGACAATAGAATCCCTTCGGCTTTGTCTCAGGACCAACTGGATCGTCCGATCCACGCATGTCTCCTGGATGGGTGTCCACTACAATGGCTGCACAGTAAGGCGGTCAGCAGAACATCTGTCTCTCCTGCCCCCCCCACCGCCCCACCCACCCACACCCCCTAAAAACGCCGCGAAAAAAAAAAACGCCGGACACAACAGAGAGACCCAAC